ATTCCACGAGCGGGCGCTTATTGTTTGCCTGACCTTCAACATCAAAACAAAAAGAGTGAGAAATATGGCGGATTTTGTAAAGCCGACCACCGCCATAAAACTTCAGATTTGGAAGGACACGATCTTCGTTTTGTTCATTGTGTATCGTCAGAGCATACGCTGTTGGTTCCTATGGGTTATCGTGTGTTCAGCTTTGAATGCCGTGAGATTCACATCAGTTTTTTGGATAGTTTGCATATCAGAAGAATCGGTATTTTAATAATTGTCTATTTGTCTCTAAAAGTTGATGAAATATTGCAATAGCCCAGCATTGATAGAGATACATTCCAGTTGTGCTTTTAGGGTAAGTCGTTTGCTTTAATCGTTAAAGCGAGTACAAAGGCAATGTACCTACACAATGCTTTTTCTATGATTCAGATTTTTATAGCCAATGTTGGTAACAATATTTGTGCTTTCCATTTTGAATATATGCATATAGAGCTAAAATAGTTTAAGTTTATAGAGAAGCTTAGACTGTTCATTTGGTTTGATCATAGAGGTTTGATTACTTTGGTATTTTATTACTATTAAAGTAATTATCCATTGAATTGCATGAGTCACATTAATTGCACCCTACTTTATTATTTTACTCTGTCTCATGCCAGATTGTTTTACCGGATAATGGCAGCTGGCCTATCTGCCCATGTGTCTAGTTAACCCATTGGCATTGAGTCACACTGTCCCCGCATGTGCCCTGCTTTAATATTTTACTTTGTTAAACTGAATGTTGTTTTTATGTTGCAGTTCTCTGACCTCAGTGATCTCGGGCAAGATGGAACAGGACAATCTCTTATCTTTGAAAATGTTATTTTGTGGGATTTCGATATTCTGCCATTCCCACCTTCTCAAACAATTCAACCTCGAGATCCAGATACTGTTAATGAAGAGTTGGACAGTGTGCTGTCACCAATAAATTTACAAGGGCAAACTGGATGTAACTGTGATCTACAACCAATAAATTCTGTGTGCTTGGTGGATATTATTACTCCACAGTACAGCATTGTTGATTGTGAAAAGTGGACCATGGGACAGAGATGATCCAAGAAACAATTATAACAGTCACATAGATTACTAAAATATTGGGTCGTTCCAGAAATGATCCATACTCCCCCCACGGAGGAAATTTCTGCCGTCTGGAGGGGGAGGGGAGAAAAAATTGTTTCTGATAATAGTAAATGTATTAGGACATCCGAAGGGGGTAGGGGGATTAACTTCCAATTTCCTCTGTTGGGGTGGTATGAATGTTTTCTGGAATGAGCGATTGTAAATTATTTTATTTTATTATGGATCCCTACATATTTATTTTATTATGGATCCCTACAATTATAACAGTGACATAAATTACTAGAATATTGTAAATTGATGTTTGCGATGTTTTTCTGAGTGTGCATGCACACTGGGCAAGCTGAAAAGTTTGCCTGACCACGGTGGGAATCTAACCTGGGATCTTTGGGATATTATTCCAATGCTCTACCAACTGAGCTCGGCTCGGTGTGGATGCACACTCAGAGTAACATAACAAACATCATATTCACCTGAGTGCACAACACCAACACACACAAGAAGTATATTGTAAATTGTTGTTATTTTATTTTATTTTATTATGGATTCCTACAATTATACAGTGATATAGATTACTAGAATATTGTTAATTGTTGTTATTATATTTTATTATGGACAAAATTTTTCCATAACTAGATCAAAGCTTTATTTTCCTCAAAGGTCCATTTATGTTTTTTCACTGGTGACTTCTTTGAAGGAGTCAGCTTGATCTTTCTGCTAGGAAACTACAAAAAAGTATGTCATTTACTAAGGGGCCGACCATTTAACTTTTGAGGGGGGGGGGGTGATTTTGAAAAAAAATTTCCTGCAAGGAAAAATGGACAAAAAAAATACCTGCACTAACAAACTGGGGAAAAAAATATCCTGCCCCAGTATTTGGTGGGAAAAAAAATGTTGCAAAACAGCATGGTTGCAGGGATCGATTGGACCAGTCCGAGAAGATCAGCTGGTTTGATTTTCAGGGACTGGTATAAGGTTAATTTCTTGTTGGAAAAATCCTCAAAATGCTGGAAATAGCTTATCTGAGCTTCAAAAAATCCAAAATATTCTGGGGGGCATGCTCCCAGACCCCTCTAGAGCCTCGCACCTTCGGTGGTCGACTCAGTTGGTGCTGCCCTATGACGTATACTTATTAGTTAAACCATGCATATATATATATATATATATATATATATATATATATATATATATATATATATATATATATATATATATATATATACAGGGTGTATCAAAAAAAACTGAACAGATTTAAAATTGCTCTCAATTTCGCAAAACAGCTATTTGTATCCGGTTTTTTATATATATATATAGCCTCTTTGGGTACTTATAATGTAGAATAATGAGAAAAATTTCTCGAACTCAAATTTTGTGAACCAGGGGGGTGTGTCTTTTCCAACAAACTAAAAATGGCTCGCGCACAAAATTTAAAAGCTGCAATCATATTTTAAGTTAACAGATGGAAAATTTGTCGGGATTTTAATTACTGTACAAAATTTCAGACAATTTGGTTTAGTTTAAGCCCTTAACTATTCACGCAAAGTTACAATTTTCCCGAAAAATCAGCTATTTGCATGCTTAATTAATGCATTTGCCTAATTTGCATATGTCAGCAATATGCAAATTAGGTAAAGGCATTAATTAAGCATGCGAAAGGCTGACTTTTTAGAACAAAATGAATAGTTAATAGTTATACTAAACCAAATTGTCTGAAATTTTGTACAGTAATTAAAAACCCGACAACGTTTCAATCTATTAACTCAAAATATGATTACAGCTTTTAAATTTTGTGCGCGAGCCATTTTTAATTTGTTGGAAAAGACACCCCCCCCTGGTCCACAAAATTTGAGTTCGAGAAATTTTTTTCATTATTTTACATTATAAGTACCCAAAGAAGCTATATATATAAAAAACCAGATACAGATAGGTGTTTTGCGAAATTGAGAGCAATTTCAAATCTGTTCAGTTTTTTTTGATACACCCTGTATATATATATATATATATATATATATATATATATATATATATATATATATATATATATGCTGTAGGTAGCTGCAGTGATGCAGACAGGGCTGTAGCGAGGGGGTATTGGGGGGGGGTGGCTAACGCCCCCCCCCCAACTTTTTTAGAATCAACATATTCAGAAAATTGGGTTGGCCATTCGGAAAATTACGGCAATAATAGTAGAACACAATTTTAGTTGTTAAACAGAGAAAATATTATAAAATTGTATTATCACTATAAATTGTAAGCAAATTGTAAATTTCGTCATACTAAAACGCTTTTTTCTGACCATCAGCATTCTGTCAAAACTTCCCCAAAGTCCAGGAAATGGCATTTCAGGGACTCGAAATTTAAAAATTTCCTCGGACCTCAGGCCCTCGTTTTCTGCCCCCAATAAACAAAAGCTCCCTACCGCACTGCTTCTGTAATATGTCTGTGCGTAAATTATGCATATTTTTGTTTGTAAATTGCGTCTTCATTTTCCGAATAGCAAACACCTTCATGGCTTAGTATGCCATGATATATTCGGAAATTATTTTCGTCATTCGGAAATTTTTGGCCTACATCCCTCCCCCCCAACTATACATGCTTGCTACGGCCCTGGATACAGACTTGCCGACTGGAACTTCTCCAGGTCCCCCGCTAATTATGTCCTCTCCAGTTGCACATCCTTAAAAAAGGCACTGAACCAAATGTTATACCTCATAGCAATATGTATTATTAAGAGCAATGCATGAAGCTAAAAAACTCAACGTTAACTATAATCTAAATAGTATAAGCTATTGAAAAAAAAATGTTGCGAAAGAAAGTGTGGCAAAAAGAAAATCGTACATGGTGATGGGATAAAAAAAAATATCTTGCACATAACGATCCCAGAAAAAAAATTCCCTGCCAGCAGTAAATCTCCCCCACCCCCTCAAAAGTTAAATGGTCGGCCCCTAAAATGGAAATTGAGTCACAGATGACATATGAATAATCATGCATGAATGTTACATTTCAGAATAATGTTACACAGAGGTGTTACACTGAATATACAAAGACGATTTAAAGAATAGAATAGCAAAGAATAACAAAATTTTAAGTACAATTTGGTCTACCATAATTGTTTTTATTATACCTTTGCTGATGTGCCAGGACTTTGAATGGGCCATTCCATTTAATATAGGCACCCCCCCCTATTGAGGGGTCTGGATATCCTATGGGGGGTAGGGAGTTTTACCTTAAATTTTCCTAGAGGGTAGCTTCCGAAATTTTCAATAAAATTGCAAAAATTAGGTGTGTTAGTGGTATCCGAGGGGGTAAAAACGATATCCTAAAGGGGGTATAAAGATATCCATGGGGTAACTTCAGTGCTGTAAGTAACTTCGTTACAAGTAACAAAATTACAAGTAATCGTTAATTTTTGAGTAACTATAACTGTAACTAGTTACCTTTAAAAATAAGGTAACTGTAACTGTAACGAGTTATATTTTGGCCTAAAATGAAACGATAACGCGTTACTTTTATAGCCAACGGTTACGTTACTTTTTTCGTTACATTCTTACAACCTACAATTCACCTCTCAGTTCTCGAAATTCTCCTCACGGTTTTCTACGACCACGCATGCTTCAGTGCTTAACACTGCTGAGAGATCCATTAGTGGTAAGGTTATATAGATAACGTTTACAAATAATTAACGTCAATCTGCTGACAACTAATCATTAAGTTGAAAAAAACTGGGTTTTTTCTCACTTGAAGTAACTTGTAACTGGTTACAAAAATATTGAGGTAATTTTGTAACGGCAACTAGTTACATTTTTTTAAGTGTAACTTTTACCTGTAACTAGTTCCTTTTTTGGGAATGTAACTGTAACTGCAACTAGTTCCAAAAAATGAGTAACTTTTACAGCACTGGGTAACTTTCAAAAATCACATCCAAGGGGGTTCTAAAATGTTTATATCCTAAGGGGATTATGAAGGGACCCCTCAATAGGGGGGGGGGATATTAAATGGAATGGCCCATTATATGAACCAAAGCTCGACTGAATGAACTTTCCACACGAGATATAGTCTTCAGGTTCTTCTTGTTGGTTTTTCTGGCGTATCAGTAATTTGAGTTTTCTAATTTTCTAAATCATGATCAACAATGACAACATCGCAATCATTAATAGATTCCTTTTTTGCTCCAATAAACTCGAATTCTATAAAAACAAATGATACAATCAGGAACAATATGTTAGAAAAGCTGGCTTGTTTACGTCCATTTCCTGAATTAAATTCCTGTAGAGTCCTCTTCCCGCGATTGGCGACAACAAAAGCAAAATACCCCATTTTCAAACAACGATTACTCGTCCCTTTCAGGGGCTTTTTTATGTTTTAAGGTACCAATAGAAAGAGTAACCCTTACTGAATACAATGATTTGAATTTTATTGAATTTCCCGATTTATAAACCATTTAGCCACCTGCGTATATCAAAGCCATTTTCGTGTCATGTGCACTATACCCGAAGTATACCCCATTTTCAAACCGCGATAACTTGTCGGTTGGAGGAGATTGTTAATGTTTTAAAATATCAGCTAAAACCTTGACCTTTCCGAATTCAATGATGTGAATTTTTCTGAATTTCCCGATTTATAAACTATTTAACTCCTGGCGTATATCAATGCTATTTCTTTTATAGCATCGAAATATACCCCATTTTCAAACCGCGATAACTCGTCAGTTCGAGGGGATTTTTTGTGTTTTGAAGTATCAATAGAAAGAATAACCGTTCCTGCATTCGATGCTGTAAATGTTGTTGAATTTCTTGATTCAAAAAGCATTTAATCCCCAGCGAATATCAAAGCCACTTTTGTGACATGTGCACTGACCCGAAACCAAGGGTAATTCAATGCGTGATTAACATTAATGAAACATGATACGACAACCACATAAAACAAAAATCGTGCAATTAAGGTCACAAATAAAACAATTATAAAAACGTACCTTCCAAAAATCAAAATTTTCAGAGTAAAAAATCGCGATGATTTCAGTCTATGCCTACATGATTAAGGTTGTGTCAGAGAAGCATGACAAAGTGGAACTACTGCAATACTGTTAAGGCGTAGACTCCTCTTGAAAGATGTGGATGAACGGAACCAGAAGAGAGACGGTCAAAGAAAAGAAAAAAGAAAACAAGAAGAAAGCGGTTGAAAGCAAGGTCTAGCGAAGCCATTGTTAAACTTGTGCATCTGATATTCTGATGGCCCCAGTTCCCCAGAACGAACTGCAAATCTTTCAAAAATGAAGAGCTGATCTCCGCTGACCTGTTTAATATTTCAACAGAAGTATTGGAAAAATTTGACAAAACGCGGTTAAGGCCACGATTTTGACTAAACAGTATTAGCAGACTGCAAACTTTAAAAAAAATTTATAGCACATCATTATTTCTGAAAAGTTTCATAGCCCCATTAAATTTTCAGGAATAGTTTCATGGCCAAGGACTTTCCCTTTTGGCCCCCTCCCGGGTTGAATTTGTGACAGCTCCCGTAGCGAAGAATATCCAAGACATTGTTGATGGCTACCACAGCACAGTTGGCTACCAAAAGGCAACCGAGATGTTTTTTCTCGATTAGCATTCGCTGTGGTCCAGCCAAGACCTAGGCCTTCTATTTTTAATATTTTTTTTTTAATATTCAGCGATTTTTCACATGAGAAGACTGGGACCTAGGCGATTTGGGAGCAGGGCTGAGGAAAGGCGAAAGCGAAACATAGAAGGCCTAGCAGATTTCCCAATCCGAATGCCAAAAACTGCCCCCAATTTGCCACACTTGGATATACCCAATTCATGCGTTCTCAAACTGAATTATTTTCAACTTAAAAGCGAATTTAAACCGATACAGGTAAAATAAACTCATTTATTGTATAAACTTACTATTTTTATTGGTATACACTTCTAGAAAATTGGGTTTTTATCATAAAGTTTGAAGCAACAAGGTGTACTAGCGAAAGCACCTGGTGTACTAGCGAAAGCACAGAATAATTCAAAATATATAACAGAAGTAGAATCTTTCATGAAATTTTGTCTTATACACAAGTACATTAATATTTTTAATTTCTCTCAATTTCGGTAATAAGCAGCCTTGTGTTTGTAAAATATACAAACACATAAATGTATTTATTAGTTATAATAAAGGAAGTTGAGGCCAGGAGTAGTTTCTTGCCGGGGTTTGACCACCGGGTATAGTTAGCCCCTAATACTATAAATAGCCTTGCCTTTGCCGGCCAGTTGATAACTGGTCGTTCGCTTCGCCCGCCTCCCTCCCTCCCCTTGTAACCACCTCCTGACAGTCGGGTTTTTGTTGTTGGTTCGGTTTTGTTTGTGGGGTGGTGGTTGGGTCTTTTGTGATTTTTTTGTGTGTGTGTCTTGTGGTTTCAGTGTTTTTTGTTAGGACATGCGTTCGTGATCAGCATTGAGCCGTTGGGGCCTGTGGATCTCAGGTACCGGTAGTCGACCGTCATGGCAAGCATACTTTACATTTTTTTGTTTGGTGTGAGTGCGTATGTGCATGTGTTTGTTTATTTCTCCCTTCCACGTGTTTCGCTTCTTGTGATTCACGTGTGACTGTGTGAACAAGGGATGGAGAGGGTACCGTTTAGGTTCCAGATGTGGTGGCGCTAGACATGACTTGGTCGCATTACCGGAGCCTAGCATGATCGCTTCGCCGAAAGCTCGTTCGCATTCGCCAAGCTCGTTCGCTTCGCCGTGCTACCGTCTGTATCCCTACCGATCGGCAACAGGCAATACTAGTTAGTAGGTACTGTAATGCTGCATGCCTATTCCGCACAATTATGGCTGATGTTAACCCCAGCATTGTTAATTAAGCATCATGTGAGATCATTAATTATATAATAATTAACGGACACATACATATATTATTAGTATAGATAATAGCATGGTTTCGAATGCAATTTGGATATAACGTGCACGAGTGAGTTTTTCAAAGACCTCAAAATACCACAACGAGTGCATGTTTATCCAAATTTCACGAGAAACCATGCTATTACTTATTAATAATTTACATAAAAATGCTCGAGACCAATTGTAGTTTTAACTCACGTTTATATAGGGAACATTCAACTGTCTGGCAAAGTTTTCCTGGCTTTGTTATAGCACATTATACGACGCTAACAGCTTGAGAATTCCACTCAACTATGTAATTTTTGTTAGTCTTCTTTAAGGCAACGGCTTTTCCATTTAAAAAAAAGATAAAAGCCATATTTTCCAACCGAAGTCAACTTTTTATACTTTATGTAGCGCTGGGCCGTGTTTGTTTTGTTTTGAAGCAATCTGTGACCGTTACATCTTTGAACTAAACTGCTTTAAGGTAATTCCGCAGTAATTGTTCCCGAAATGAGAATGTGCTGAAACTTCCCAGGAATGGAGTTTATGATATACTTAAAGCAAAATCACACAAAAAAGTCGGGGTCACCGAACTCGTTAAGAAGATATGACAATCACAATATACCACCTTTACCCCCAATATGGCGCCATCTTGACGCTCATTACGAGTAACAGCAAAATCACAACAGACCGATATTTATTGACGTTTTTAGCGCGTATTTTGCTTTAGTAAACCTATCTTGTAATTATTTTTGAAAAAATATTGTGTTTTGAGCAAAATGAAACTGCTAACGTGTACAATTCTCATACATAAATGTCTTTTCCACATTTCTTTACATATCTTTCTTTGAGAACATACATTGATAAAGCATTTTTTTTTAAGATCCAGAAATGATTTTTCTTTTAATTTCGGATATGAAATGTAAAATGCATTAAAGAAATAAATTATCAGTTAAAAACCGGGGGTCACCGATCTTTTTAGGAAATTGTGGCATTAAAACTTGAAATACAAGTAAATAAATATACTACAGACACAGGAACCCTAGCTACACTTTTGTATGCCTTTTTTGAAAACATTGATTTTAACGTAATTCTTTGCACGAATGTAACCAAAGATGTTTTGAAGTAACATAAAATTGTCATAAAATGATATTTTTTAAAACGGTAAGTACAATGGATGAAATTATAAGTTATAAGATGTGTGCAGCAATAGTGCGCAATGCAAAACTGCGGAATTGCCTTAAGAGATTTTTTTTAAAATTGGGAAACTCGCGCTCAAAAATACCGTGATGTTTTGCGACAAATAGTACATTTTGTAACATGGCGGAAAGGAGTGAACGTGTTTAAATCTGCTCTATTGATCTCATGAAAACTCGCTCGATGTTACATCTAAGACAGGAATGGTCTATTTGGCATATTTTCCAGTGCTGGAAGTAAAGAAAAATAAAACGTCTCCACGTCGTTTTAACCCTATTTGTACCGGAGGTGCGCACCCCTATAAATATTTATCCGTCATTCCTGAACAAATTATCCCATTTGCCTGTGCTTTCATGACTTTTAATATTTTTCCTCTGCCGTCATGACTGCGAAAAATTGTTTCTGAAACTATGAGTCAAAGTTATGCGGACGTTTGCCGACATTTGTCAAATTAGGTGTCAGGGCCAAAAATGGGAAAATGTGGGTTGGACAGTATTTTTTGGCTGAATCACTTCGCAGGACATCAATAACATAATATAATTAGAGAACATATAAAGATGGATTATTACACATGATTTGCAAAGTAAAATATCCATAATATATTATTTAAAATAGTAAAATATAGTATAACATTATATAGCATACTATACAATACTTATATAATATAATATAAAATCCTTATTTATAATATTTTATATATTCAAATACACATCTTTCTTTGTACCTTCAAGGCATAACATCTCCCTGTCTTTCAGCAAGCACCAAACGTGTAGGATGCATCATATATTGAATACTTTCGTACAAGCAATTTGCCAATTTAGAGTAAAATATTTTGCATAAAATCCAGACAGCATCATCATCGCTTGAAACTAGATATATTGGCTTCTAAGCCTTCTATCCCTGACATTTCGTCATATTTTGATAAATAATCGTTCCCTGATGCGAACGAAGAAGCCTTGGAAGATGCATCCGACGAAGACATTGCAAAAAGATATAAAAAACCGCGAATTATTCTTCGAAATTAAAGCTTCTTTGTAATGGTAAAGTGTAGTGTTTACAAGGAGACTTCGCATGAGTTCACCAATTGACGTCACACATTCCTCTCTCACCAGTCTCCCAAAACTCGGTCGTGGAACAAATGTGTGCA